ATCCGAGGAACTAGAATATCTGGATTTTGTGTCTGCACGGTTCATTGCGGTTACTGAGGGACACCAGTGCAGTTTTGTTTTTCTGATCTTATAAAATAGTTTTCTTGAATAAACAATTCTAGGTTGACCATTTTTTTCTCTACAGTGTGTTTTGTGATCTTTCTCCTTGCCAGCCTTCACCCTGAGTTCCTATTCGCTGGGTGAAGGAGGCTGCCCCCCGGGATCTGTGCTGGCTGGAGGCAAGCCTGCTTCCTGCCAGTCAGGATTCAGAAATGGATTCCCTCCTAGCCTTTGAGACACCTCTGAGTACTGTACTAGGAAGTTTTACTCACTGTGTTGTTTACAGCTTTCTTTTGTAGGGTACAGAGTGATTCTAGATTCGACAGATTCTTGTCCTAAATTCTGGAAAATTTTCAAGTATTAGCTTAGATGTTTTCATTTTGCTAAGAACTGATTGGAATAGATCCAGATTATATCTTATTATTCACAAGCCTCCCAGTGTCTTTGATCTTTATCATCTCCTTGTTCTCAGTAATTACTGTATGTGATTTCAGCCATGCTTTCTAGTTTGCCGAATCACTTGTCAGCTTTTTAATTTGTTAATTTTTTACAAATATTTTCAACAGTTACTATTCATAAAAGTTCTATTTAGTTATTTTCTAGACACACTTTTCAATTTTTAATATTCTTGCTTGCTTGTTTTGGGATTGTTTTTAGCATTTCACACATAGTTTACTGATACTTTCAAAATTTAAAGTTCTGTTGGGCTGGGCATTTAGCTCATCTGCACAAGGGCTTTCCTGGCAAGTGTGAGGTCGTAAGATCGATCCCCAGTGCCAAACAAACAAACAAAATAAAGTTCAGTATATTAGTTACTTGTAAAGTTGTTTAGTTACTTTGTAGAGTTGGATTACCTTGCAGATCACCTGACACTCATTTACTCTCAATAACTGGGCACCGCGGATAGTCTTATGTATTCCCAACAGACTGTGCTGTGTAAGTTAATCATCTTTTGGAATCACTGGCTCATGAAGGTCGTGGACGTGGTGTCCAGACCTTGCTAGGCTGACTTGGCGCTGGTGTTCAGCTCTGGTACCATCAAGGAGAATCCACCATCGCATTTATACTTCCAACTGGGTTCCTACTTTTTTTTTTTTTTTTTTTTTGAATGGTGAGCTGTAACTAGATGCTTTAAAATACTTGCTAAATTCAAGAATAAAGCTGGTGGAAGAATAAACCATCAATGAAAAAAGTAATTTAAAGTCATATTGAATATTCATTCTAAAACTTAAATTATTTTAACTAATGGAAAGATAAGTTGCACAAAAACTCCATTAATTCAGTATATAAATTTATATTTTTATCAAAAGACAAATGGATCCAAAAGAACTAAATGTTGAGAAAAACCCTTTTTATTTTAATATTATAGTCTTGTTCTTCAGATTATATAAAATACTAAATAGTTAAGATTATGTCGTGAGTTCTCCTCTCCCCTGGATATATTCTAGTACTACACAAGATTACCACTTTTTATGAGACTCACTTTTTATACTTTTTGTCCCAGAGAGCTAATACAGTATGTGTGAATTGTAATGCAATGGTTTTAACTAATTACACGTTTCTCTTTGACTCAAAGAATAATGACCAGGTCTGCTTTCTCGTGAAAATCTTTGAGTCATCTGCAAACATATTTTATTAGGAAATGATTTTTAAATGCAGAAGATTTGTTCAAATCAAAACTACATTAATGTGTTTTATTTTAAACTCATTCTGCATTTAATTTTTTGTTCCTCTATCAGTTCTTTTTTTCAGTTATGTAATTTGTGAGTCTTCATTTGTTTTCTGTCTCTTTCATTGTAGTTCCGCGAAGGGTTATGTTTAAAACACTAGTCTTAATCAAGTTAGCTGGAGTGATGTTGTACCATACTCTAGAGCTTACTTTGTAATAAGCACTGTGACATGTGATGCAGCACATGCTTATGTGACTTCGGGCATGCAGCTGTGTGCCGCTGTGTTAGTTTCCATAGCTGAGACTCGCGGATCCTCCTCTGTTAATGTGTGGCGCACTGCAGATAAGGATGAGTAGTGTTGCTTGGCAGTTTCCTTCCTACCACCGCTTTCACTAAGAGATTGTGAAAACTGGCACGAGCAGAGACACCCGTGAGACTTTTCTTAGTTGGCAGGGCAGACAGAGGAAGGGAAAGGGGGGCTTTAGTTTGCTGGGGTTTGAGTCAGAGGGACCCTCTGGAGCATCTGAAGGACTGTGGCCAAGATGGCCCTGGGCATTGCGTCTCCTCGGGGAGCGCGTTCGTGTGCAGAGGGCTGCCAGCAGCTGCGAAGTTCCTTTACTTTTCGGATTGCTGTTGCATGGCTCTGTGTAACCAAGATGGTGAACTTAATTCTACTTGGCACTTCTGCGATTCTGTGGAAATGCTTAGGAAGACACTCCCGTGTGTGGGATCCTTTGTCAGAGACTGAAGAGACTGGAGGGCCGTCCTCAGTTCTGCAGAGCGGAGGTCCTGGCAGAGTTCCTGCCAAGCTGGCCAGCCTGTTGCCACTCAGTAAATGTCTGTCAGGCAGTGACTGTGCTTTTAAGTGGAGGGTCTTGGTTTCCTCGGTGGTGTGAAGTGGGATGTTCTGTAGAAATGTATCTGTTCGCTAGTAGGTTTAACCTTTGTGGGACAGTAATAAATTCTGTACATGTAGAGTGATCTATCAAGTGTATAAAATTTAATGTAAGACTAACTCGGGTTCTGTCACATATTCTAGAAATCTACAACTCTTTTTACCTATTTTTTGAAAGGAGAAAGTCCACTTTTGTACTCAGTTTCACATTTTTTCCCTCTTTATTGTAGACTTTTGACAATTTTCTATGTCTTCACTCATGAAGACATGAATAAATGTTAGGGTTAGAGAGGCAACAAGTTTTTAAGTCCTCAGAAAACTACAATTTAAAAAATACAAATGGGAAAGTTGGATTTGTGACATTAAAGAAGGAGGCTGTAGCACATTACAAGCTTATACTCTCAATGGCAGTTCACTGTCTGTGTTAATTGCTGCTGTTACTGTCCACTTTGGGAGCCGAGTTCAAATTCCTTCCATCCAAAGAGTGGGTTTAATATGGTATGTGAAGGGGTTTTTTTAATAGATAAAATAGGGTTAATTGGAAAAAGAGAAGGAATGCAGAATAGATAAGTCTCATGATTTGAGAATTCCTGTCTAAGAAACTTGATTAGTTTGGATACTGTGGAAAAAAGAGAAATGTATGTATTCAATTGGCCATTAAATAATTTATAGAGACTTTTTTTCTGGCCATTGAAAACCATGGTAAGAAAAGAAAAGCATGCCTATGGTTTTTCATTTTTAGTACCTGATATTTCTTTATTGAACATTCTGGTTTTGGGCTGGGGATTTAGCTCAGTGGTATAAGCGCCTACCTGGCAAGTGCAACATTGTGAGTTTGATCCCCAGTACTGCCAAAATAAATAAATAAATAAAATAAAAAAAAATTCTGGTTGTAAGTGGAAGGTTCATATTATTTTTACCTAATGATGAAATTTACAGATCAAATTTTCAGGTCAGTCATTCAAAATATATAAATTAGTTAACTTCAAACCTAAAATATTAAAATAGCAAAAATAAGGAGGCTTCTTGGCTATCGTTATTTAATCAGTCCTTAGGGTAATTGCTACAGTGATCAGGTAAAACCATGTCAACAGTAGTTGTTCTTACCAGAACCCTGGGCACTAGTCTGGGCCACTTGTCATTTAGTTAGCATTAGGCTGCACTGGTGTGTGAGCTTGCACTGCCTCAGCCTTGGCGTTGAGGCCCCACTCCGCGGGTGTGAGGGTAGAGACCTGGCTCCTAGCCCTGAGACCTGTCGCTCTAGCCAGTCTCTGTCACCACCGCCAGAGCCGGTTCCGTCCTGTTCGGTTTCTTTTCTCTGTTGTCTTGTCTTTACCTCTTCCAGAAAGCTCTGCGCGGCTGGCTGGAGCAAGGGCCTTTTAAGCCTTTGTTAGAGGCCCAAGCTCCCTGCGCACGCTGTGGCACGCTGGTGGGGAGGGCAGCAAGGGCTTACCATGCCACTCGTGCGCTGTGTCATTCTTGTAATTCTGTCACCGTCTGAACAAAGCTGAAGCTGCTGTAGCAGCCTGAAGACACTTGTGGGTTTCCGTGTGTGTGGGTCCTTTATACCTATCGGTCTGTCCTGTGTGGCTGTCAAACTCAGCACCAAGCAAGAGAATGATCCAGGCACAGAGGGAGTCAGAGTTCCTTGAGGAAGTTAGGGTTAACAGAGTCATTAAGCCTCCGTCACGAATAACAAAACAGCAAAAACCAGAAAAATGCTCAGAACTGAGGTCAGCGTGCCTGAGAGGAGGTCCTGTGGAGTAGACTTGCTTTTGGAAAGTGAAGTTCAACTTGTTGAGCCTTCTTTTTTTATTGCCTCGGTTTTCAGTGTACTTCTTGTCTTCCGCTTGCTGTTTTCCCTCTTTCACTCAGCACGTTTGTCACTGTGCCTAGAAGAAATTCTCCCCGTGCAGCCATTGGGGTGTCATGTTGGAGCTCAACTGATCAGAGGAGATAGTTACTTGCTTTGTGAACTGCAGGACCAGTAGATGTTCTCTTAGACATTAGTAAAGCATGTTGGAGTTTACGTAGTGGTTGTCACATAAAAACTACAATATCTGTTACATCAAACTCAGTCAGTTTGAAGCAGTCCATAAAATAAATCCTTTGTCTTTAACTTGGAGACACTCATTCTTGTTTATTTTTCTCTAGTTCGATAGATAAATCTCTTGGATTTTCAGGATGGAATGGGAAAAGAATTCCTGATTACAGTTTTCTTCCTGCATTTAAATTTCTCCTTTTTCCTTTGCTCTTCACTCGTTTTCTCTCCCTTTCTATCTCCCTCCCTCTCCCCTCCCCTTTCTGTCTGTCTTTGTTTTGGGTATTTTTCACAACTGTCAGCAGAATTATTGTCTTCCTGTCTCCACATTCAGGTAGTGTCAGTGGCTGAGTATCACCGCAGGATCGATGCTCTAAATACTGAGGAGCTGCGCACTCTCTGCAGACGTCTCCAGGTGCCCTCCTAGCCCACCCTCGGAGCTTGTGACTCCCGGCTTTAGTGTCTTCCTCAGGGCAAACTCACCTTTGAAGGGTTTGTTCTGACCCAGCACTAAAGTGACCCATCTGAAAATTCCTTTTGCACTGAAGCTCTGTTGCTTTGGAGAGCTGTAGGATTATCTTTTCTGTCTTTTCATTTGAAAGTATTCAGAATCATTTTCTGTCACTTCAGAACTAGTTTCAGAGTATGTTTCTTTGAGTGAAACTCAATGATTTTTCATTTATTTCTTTGGTTTGAGATTTACTGTGAAACAATTTGAAAAATGTGGGTTTGTGGGAAAGTTTTAAAAATTTAGTGGACAGAAGGGCTTAAAAACTTTATTTCAGTTGTATAACTCCACATCACACATCTTCATGGGACAAATTCTTTTTGTTCTTGAGGCATTCTTAATTGTATTAGAAATACTCTGGAGTAGTATAATTAGGCACCAGAATTAGATAAATTATTTTAAAATGCATGAAATAATCTTCATGATTTTTTTTTTTAAATAAGAAAGAGATGCAATTGAAAACTCATTTTTCAGTGTGTGCATTATCAGCTGTGTGTCTCCAGCATCTTAGTAAGGTACAGTTTTTGTAAGGCTTTGATAGACCTGCTGGGGATTTTTCTTTTCTTTTAATGCTGCCATGGATTTCTTTTTTTTTACACTTTCACATCACTGTTGATGTGAAAGCATTCACATGTAGCTTCTCATCAAAAGCAATGCAGTTTCATAGCATGTACTTGTTGAAGACAAGCGCTGTGCAGGTCCAGTGAGAGAGACACTAGCAGATAGCGTAACCAGCAGGCCCCATTCACGCGTGAGTCGGCTCCCGGCTCTGCTGCATTTTAGTGATCTGCTCCAAGAGACTTCTGCATATTTTCCAGCTTAAAGGTTTCACCAGCAAATTATGTTTCATATCCTTTATTTTCCTTTATTGTCTTACATGTTAAAATTAATATAAAAAGTAGTAATAGAATACACTGTTCAGTAGTTATTCTTCAATCATTATTTTTAGTATTTAAGCTAACATTTTATCATATTAAGAATATACTAAGCAAAAGCATGAGATTGATCTAATTTTTTAAAAAAATTTGCAAGTAAATTAACTTCAAAATTTATTGTTCGGTTCAACTAGAAAAAAATTGTGTTTGAAAAGTTAAAAAATGATGACATTTTTAAAATGAGAAAGTTTTTCAGTGATGCAAGTAAATTTAGACATACATACTAAAGAAGAAGAAAAATATTATGCTTATTTTACTATTCTTCAAAGTTTTAAGTTTTTGTGATTGTTTTTTGACAATTGTTACATTTAGCATGAAAAAATAATCCTACATATTTGAAGTAGTACCTAATTAAAAACCAGCTAGCTGGCTCACTTTTGCACCTGAAGGGCTAAAGTTTGCATGGAACTGCCCCACATTGCACAGAAATATGGGGGCTAAACTTCCTAGTCCAAATAAATTCTGGCAGCTGGTAAATTCATTCCCAGCTCTTCCTCATGCAGTGGGTGAGAAAGTGTCCAGAGGTCCTTGTCTGTATTGGACACACCACTGATGGTAGACGGGGATCTTTAATCTTACAGAATCCTAAGCACCTGTTCTGAGGTATAAAGTATTAACTCCAAAGACTGATACTGACGTGCCCCTCATACCTGGGTGGTAACGACTGCTCCTGTCTCCTCCTCAGATCACCACCCGCGAAGACGTCAGTTCCAAGCAGGCTGCGCCCCTGAAAGCAGAGCTGGAGGCGGAGTCCTTCCGGCCTAACCTCAGTGACCCCAGTGAGCTTCTGCTGCCAGACCAGATTGAGAAGGTGCGAGTGTGCGCGCGTCACTGTGCGCCGTAGGGGGGAGCTGCACTTTCCGGGCCACTGCTGCTGCTGTGCCCTCAAGGGAAAGGCAGCTCCCCTCCACAGCACAGCTGGTGCAAGGAGAGGGAGGAGGAGCCGGGCCTCAGCAACACTGAGAGAACGACCATCGCAGCCTGGGCTGGCCCGCTGGCCAGGGCTCGGTCTGTGCTCCGCTGTTGCTCCCGCAGTTGGCGCCTTAGGCCCCATGGCAGCCACTGTAGGACTGGGCGTTGTCAGTGCGCAGATTTTTATGAGTGAAGAACATGCTGAGATACTCACTGAAGCCTGGCACTGCCCCATTCTCTGGTTGTAGAGCCCATTACCTGAAAGTGTTTCAGAATCAAGGAGTAGTCATCCATAAGAAAAAGTAACCTGTTTTTTTTACCTCTGGTCCTTCGTGATTCCTTCCCTGGTGGACAACTAATATTTCATACTGAGAAATAAATGATTCATTTTTCAGTGTCTTAGGTTCTTTGAGAATGATAAACTACCGGTTTTTCTTGTTGTAGCCTACATTGTATAAGTACAGTTCAACTCCAGCCCCTGTTAGTATGCTGCATACCGACAGTGAGCTATCCAGTAAAAGCTGGCATTTTCTTCCCCTAAGCTCACCAAGCATCTTCCACCAAGAACCATTGGCTACCCATGGACCCTGGTGTACGGGACAGGCAAGCACGGCACCAGCCTGAAGACCCTTTACCGGACCATGACAGGCCTGGACACCCCGGTGCTGTTGGTGATCAAAGATAGTGATGGCCAGGTGGGAGCACTGACAGCACAGACGCCTTGTCAGTAGGGGTCAGGGTGACAGTGACTGCTGACCTGTTTCTCTGAGGAAAGTTACGTCAGCATAACATTGTCCGTGGACTGATAACTGTCGGGTAATCTTGAGATGCAGTGCACTGCTGCGTGGAGTAGGGGATGGAGACCCATAACATAAGCCTGAGTGTGAATAACTAAGCATGTCTGTCTCCACAGAGGGTGATGTGGCAGAAAAGAATGTTTAATTATGTTATCTCTGCTGCTGAAGATACACTAAGACCCCAGAGAAGTGAAGTGGTATTTGGAGAGTCACTTGTACCGGGGAGATTCTGAGAGAGGGCGGGGACTGACAGCCAGGAAGCCTGGGGGCTTTTGATGGATGAAGACAGTTGGAGTTGGTCATAGTGGCATATGCCTGTGTCCCAGCACTCTGGGAGGCTGACTCAGGAGGACATTCAATTTGAGCCCAGCCTGGGTATCTTAGCAGCTTAGACACTGTCTCAAAGTGAAAACTAAAAAGCTTTGGGGTATGTAACTCAGTGCAAGGGCCCTGGGTCCAATGCCTAGTACTGTTAAAAAAAACTTGGTTGTTTAGCAGTGGTGGGAAGAAAAAAACCACAGTTAAGAGAGAAACATGGTTTCTCTCTTATATACCCAGCATAGTTAAGTTGTGGTCAGTTACCAGCTCTGGAGAGGAAAGAGCGTGAAATAGCAATGTTAACTACAACAGGTCATTGTAGTTAACACTCATTACACTTGTAGCTTTAGTGTGTATTACGTGCCTTGTAACTGGCTGATCAGCGCAGCTGTGTTCAACATCTGTGTCCCTGGAGGTTAACAGTCTTCCCTGCTTCGGAGTTAACCTGCCCAAGGGTGTGCATGCATGAAAAGGCTGGTGCGGTGGCGGGAGCACATTCTTGCTGCAGCCATGGCACAGAAGAGGGTCACCAGCGTGGTGCTGAATTAAAATCTCACAGTCGAGAGGAGCAGCCCCACAATTCTGCTCACGGACTGTCCCTAAGTGTCAGGCGAGTGTGTGTGGCATCAGGCAGCCCCTGGGAGGAGGGCTGCCGACTGGAAGATGCAGGGGAGCTTCTTAGCATCTCACCAGCGTTCCATGTGGGTCAGGCAGCGTGGCTTTGTGATGATTCCACGGTGACTGTGTGTGCATTCTGTGGCTCCTCTGGGTATGTGGCTGCACAGTCCAGTTGAGGAGTCTTTTAAAAATTAGAAGTGTAAAGAAAGACTGTCAGAGAAGACGAGTGCTGGTCTTCATCCACCAGCCTCTACTCTCCTGCTGAGATGTGGCGCTGTGGCCCCGTCAGTTCTGACACCAGGCTGTCCACTGTGTGCCTGCAAGGCTGTGAGACGAAGGGCTGATAGCTCAGACGGGAGCCTGCTGAAGGAGTTCCCCGGTGATGCAGCAGACAGTGTGGTGGGACCAGCGTGTTTACCTGGATGGAAGGAGTCTTGTTTTCTTAAGCACTGCAACAGAATGCTATCCTTATTCTGTATTCATTGTCCTTGTGAGTCCTCCTGAAGTGTATTTACCACTTTTTCAATTTAATTTAATTTCTGTTTGTTAAAATAAATATCTTTTTAGATTTCAAAATTAGGAAACAGATGTTTTTCCTCATTGAGAAGCTAATGTGCTTTGCATTTGACAAGAATGTGAATAACAGATCATTTTTCTCTTTTAAGTGGAAGTACACAAAAGTACCCCAAATTTCAATTTTTTGCATTTTACTTAAGCATAAGTGATGCGGGTGATGCTTAATGAAACAACTTAATAGCCACGTCCTTGCATGTGCCTTTGCAATCTCTAGGTCTTTGGTGCGCTAGCATCAGAGCCATTCAAAGTGAGTGACGGCTTCTATGGGACCGGAGAGACCTTTGTGTTCACCTTCTGTCCGCAGTTTGAGGTATGGAACGCTGTTGCATATCTGTTTAGAAATGGCGTAGCAAAGAAAATGTGTGCTCTGGTTTGTGGTCATTTAGGTTCAAATGTCAGGTTTGCCCTAAGAGATGAAATTATATTTTAATCTTGAGAAAAGAAATTAACTTTGTTGGTTTAAAAAGAAAAAAAATAGTATTGTTTGCCAGTAGTGCCTCTGAACAAAGTAGGAAGGATCTGATGATGCAGCCAAGTTCTCCTGGCACCGCTGTGCTGGCCTGGCTCTCCTGCTGACCAGCACGGTCTGCCCACTCTGTGAGGTGCTCCAGGCCGTGCTCAAGGGCTCACCGTCTCCGCAGGCGTCCTAAGCTTCCCTGGGCTTATTCTCAGGCCCCATTATGAGGTTGCTGCTTCATACCTATAATAACACAGTTAATTAAGTGACATTAGACTGTGGAAATGCCTCCGTTTTATTGAAAATGATAATGTATACTTTCGAAAAATGTGTAAAGCTGAGTTTCTAGATACTGTTATTATATTAGGTTTAGGTAAAATACCCAGAAAAGATTAGAAAGAATATTTAAGAATATTAATGGCTAGTTTTGTCCTCAGATTTCTCTAATGTTTTTAAATTCTCTTTTTCAGAAAAATTGAAATTGGAAACTTAAATATGCTTCTTAAGTATGATTAATGTAGAATTGATGAATACCAAAGCCATGCCCAAAGAAAGAGCAGGCTTTATTTCATAGTAACCTTCGTTTGTTTAGTGTTAAAAAATAATTAACTTCAGAGAAGTGTATCTGAAGAGTTCGTAAGATCCGAGGAAGCAGGACTGAGTAACTTCAGAGTGGAGGCTGTGCTTTTAGAGTCGGTCCCACAAAACCCAAAGCACTGGGGACCATTTGTTTGCTAAGTTTTTTGTGTTCCTTTAACTCATATTAATATTAGTGCAGACTTTGCTGATTCTTGGGTTTTGGAGAACTAACTGCTTAGTGACCATTGTTACCTATATATTTAATGCTTTTTTTCCCATTTTTATAGGTCTTCAAATGGACCGGAGATAATATGTTTTTTATCAAAGGAGACATGGATTCATTAGCTTTCGGTGGAGGAGGGTGAGTTTCTAGAACATTTCAGCGTGAGATTTTTTTTCTTTTTTTTTTTTATTTTAAAGAGGGTAAAATTAAACAGAACAAAACAAATCATAAGGAAAAAATTTAAAGAAACACAGATTTCAAAGAAAGTCCTTTGGAGATCTTCATTGTCTATCTTACTGTCTCTAGTTTTCTTCCAAATAGTTGTCCCCACATTGAATATATACTGAACATTACAGAACTAATCAAATCATCACAGAATGATGAAGGCTTTTTAGGTCTTCAAGACTTGACATTGGGGAAGTCAATAATGACTGCCATAATGTAATTCTCTTCATAGTAGCTGTCCTTATGTTTATATATGCGGAAATTCAACATAAGAGACTAGACTAATATCACTCTGAACAGTGAATAATAGTATTGCTAGATTTTATATCATAATGCTACAGAATTAGCATTGAGTTTCTTAGTGTATCTTCTTCAGAGTATCTGTTCATTACATTGTGCATTATATAATCTTTTCCTGTAAATAGTTAAGAAATTCTCCCCGTGTGTGAATCTCTACATGTATATCTATCCTTTCTGTGTTATAAGGAAAAATAGACCATAACAAGACAACAAAACGAATTCCTAGGAAAACATGAAATGAAAAAACATAAGACCACAAATATTAGGTGATCTATAGTAGTTACTATGCTTTCTCTTGTTATTTTCAATAGAATTGTCTACATCATCAGACATAATATAATTGAACATAGCATTATATAGCTATTTTAATAAAAATACAACTTTGGAGACATTGTAGGACTTCAAAAGTCCTAATAATCAAACCGGATTGGGTATCTTTTACATCTTATCATCTTCAGAGTAGTTGCCTCTACTCTTAGACTTGATACTATCAAGCATACCAAATTCGAATAAAAACAGTCAAGGCAAAACAGCGGTCTAACAAACCAGCTTCAAATAAAATCATAGTAAGACAATGTAAGTAATACAGGATTTCAGTTTAAGTTAATAGGAAATTAATGGTATAACCTGCTATTTTTGGATTAGCTGTCTGTGCCCTCAAATCTAATGAGTAGACAGACTGGAACAAAATAAAATCAAACTAAACAGAGCAGTAAGACTACTGTGACTTTTAAATCCTGATACACTGTTAACAATGTTTTCTGCCTTTCTTTTTTAGGCAATTCTTCACCTTTTCCCTTCTCACGATTCTTTGTATATTTCAGGTCCCACTAGCTCCTTTAGTTTTTAGATTAGGGAGTCAATCCATTATCTACCTGAGTGTTGCTGAACCATTTTACCCCTGAGCTTGACCTTGAGCTGTATTCTTTTACTTACTAAAGCCACAAGGGTTTCCTTCCTTCCAGCTGTGTAGTTCTACACTGCCCAAAAGTGTCATAACTTTCCAATCTATTTACGGCTGCAGGACAAGTTGTCCCTATTTCTCTCTGGTTTCCTGTCACATATGGCATCGTTTTCTTGTCTTTGACTTTCAGTTTATCAGGTTGAGTATAGTTCCTATTCAGAGCATCTCAATGGGTCCTGCTTCCTAATCTACTCTGCCTGTGTTTCTTTTTGTTAGTGTATCAAGGCTATCTATATTAAAGATTATAACCTACCTTCTCTGCTTCATCTCTGCTATTCTATTTTTCTGCTATTATTTGTCCACTTTATTCCTTCATTCCACTGTCTGCCCCCTTCATTGAGGCCTCTCTGCCACTGTTGTTGGAATCCTGGTATTTTTTTTTCTTTCTCTCTCTGGAATGTCCTTTAGTATTTGAACTCCTACAGTTCCTCCTTGTCTTGGAAATACCTTATTGTTCCATTAATTTTGAGAGAGAGTTTTTCTGGGTACATCAATCTGGATTGGAGGTTATTTTCCTTCAGGGCTCGGACTATTTCCCTCCAGGCTCTCCAGATTTGAGAGTTTGTGTTGATAAGTCTGTCATTATTTTGATGATTTTTCCTTTGTAGGTGATCTGCTTCTTTTCTCTGGCTGCTTTTAATATTCTGTTCTTGTGATAGATTTCTGGGATCTTGATTATTATATATCTGGGTGTAGATCTGTTCTGGTTGTAGGTGGCTGGAGTTCTGTATGCCTCATTTATCTGGATATCATTTCTTTTTCCTATGCTTGGGAAGCTTTCCTTAATTATTTCAATAGTCTTTGTAATTCATTTGTGGTTACTCCTGCTTTTTCGCTCACATTTTTTATTCTTAAGTTATAGATTCTCTTGTCATGTTCTAGGCTTTGAATTGTTTCTTCCTGGTTCCTTGTTATTTTTAAGAGATCTTTCTTTCACGATCACAAGTTGTAAATCTCTCTTCAAGTTTCAAAAGGCTAACTTTAGTTTCTGTCAAGGCATTTTGCCAGCTTTCAGTGGAATTTTTAGTTTCCTGGTAATCTCTTTGGATCTGTTTCATGTATTCTAGGTTTTGTTTACATTCTTCATCAAAGGTTTCTCTTCCTTTTCTGGGTTCCTCCGTTCTTCTGTCTGTGTTTTCTTGGGAGGAGCTTAGCATTTCTTTAACTAATCTTTTTATATTTTGCCTCACTCGGATTAGAATTTCAGTTTTAAGTTCATCTATGAGGTCATGAAGGTATTTCTTTATGTCTGCTGATGTTGTGGCTAGTATTGCATGATTGTTGCACTGGTTCTCTTCTGTATTTACCTTTCCTGGGCTTATTTTCTCAGGGTCAGTGGCTGGAGGCTTTTTTAAAAAATTTCTATCTCTCATGTTTCTGGTTTCTTTCAGACAGGCGTGTTGTGGAGGTCCCTGGCCCTCTCTGTATTGCTTACAGTGTTTGTGAAGTGTACTGACTGGAGTTTTGTTGCCCTCTCCAATTTGCTGTTATCTGAAGTGCACGCAGGGATGATGCAGGCTAGCCTCTAGCCTCTGAGCCAGTCAACCCACAAATGCCTTCAGCAGCTTAGCCTGTGCTTTGCAGATGTCACAGAGTCAGGACAGTTTCGTCCCTGGCTATTGGGTCCCAACCAGGGGCGTGGCTCAGCCCAAGCAGATCCCACCAGTCCTCCTGGGCCAGGGGCAGCTGACTGGTGCCACCGCGGCACTGAGCTCTGCCCCACTCCAAGATGTCTCCCAGCCAGCCACACCCGCTGCGGGACCCAATCCCCAGCACTCACTGGGAATCAATGTAGTTCTCCACCTTGCCTCCACTCCATGCTGCACCGTGTCCTCTCGCCAAGGGCCCCTGACTCACCAATTCCCGTTATCGGCGGCTGTGGCTTCAGCATGACCTTGAATCGCCTGACTCCACCGCGCTGCCAGCACAGCACGGACTGGTCTCAGTGAGCACATCGGGCTCCAGCCCTCCACTTGTGTTTTTCCTTCCTCTTCTTATTTTTCTTTTCTCTTCAGTTTCCTCCTGGGTTTGTGAGAGCCCCTCTCTGCTCGTCCGGCCCTCTCCATGTTGTCAATTTCCACCGTCTGAGCTGTTTTCCAGAGAAGCTCTCCACCCAGCAACCTAGCAAGCCGCCATCTTCTCTAATCTCCCTCAGTATGAGATTCTTGAAGAAACTTTGAGAATGCATTTGGGTTATTTATACAATCAGTTGTCTTTGGGAAATCCTGACCTTAGAATCCAAAGTTACAGGGTATGGCAAAGACAGTGTGTTGATGAGAAGAGAGCTAACTATGGATGGTATGTGAAACCTGATAGTGTTTGTTTCTTTATTTTAATGTGCTATTTAGTTCAGTTCCTTTATATTACAGCGTGTCTTTTACCTTATAGTAACTCAGATGTTTGAGAGGAAACTTCCCTACTACCTTTGAACTTTGCATATTTTCACATAAACATGATGGAATGTCACTTTTCCCACTGTGTAGGACACATCTGAGAGTGTTCGTATTAGTTTTCTCTGGAAACTACTTGGATTAATATCTTAGACAGTGGTAGGGATTTTTGTTTGCCTGCAAAAAACTGTCAGGGTTGTTCGGTGCCTTAAACAGTAAAAAGTCAGCACATAGATTCTTGTGGCCTCCCAAGCTCTTCCAGGAACTTGAGTCCTTGCTTGTTCAGTGCCAGGCAGCCTATGCTGCTCAGGGCTTCAGACCTGCCAGCAACTTGGTGTTATGGAACATTGGTTTCCAGACTTGGAAGTGTGTTGTTACATAGCCTACAATTAAGAATGTATAACTATAATTTTTTTAGGCCACAGAATCCTGTTGACTTATGAGTATACTTATCATCCTAGGTGAGTCTAACAAATTTCCTTACAATTTCCCTATAAATAGGTGTTTCAAAGGCACAATTACAGTGATTAAAAACTAACCATTGTCATTGTAGCCCTCTCAGTTATTTTTTGGTTTTTGGACTCCACAGGGATGGTTTCTGTGGTCCAATCACACCTGTTTTTGTAGTTTGAGAATATTGTTTAGCTCTTCCTAAGTGTATTCTTACATGTGGTTCTTATAGCTCTCCCAGAAATCATCACTGTCTGACCAATTTGAAGTTGATGTCTGCCGGAACTGGATTTCAGTTTTATAACTTGATTCCACTAAGCTTAAATAACCATTGGATCATTGATAAGCAGGCAAATTTCCCATCTTTTGGGAAAAATTATACATTCAGAAAATAGAAACCGTGGGGACTCCCTGTTCCAGAACTCCAAAAGCAGGAAATATCTTAGTCCATTTTCTGTTGCTATAGCCAAAGACCTGAAGCTCGGTACTTCAAGAGCAAAGGTTTATTTAGCCTACAGATTTGGGGGCTGCAAGCTGAGGTTGAGCAGCCCCACCTATTTAGCCTTTGCTGAAGGCCCTCTACAGCTGCATCTCAACCTAGCAGAGAAGTAAGAAGGGAGCCAGCTTTGTGCAGAATAGATCCTCTGGCCAGACTTGCTCACCAGGTCCTTTTCACAGGAGCCTCTTGGGCTCCTGGAGACCCTCCCAGGGTTCAGGGGACTGCTCCTGCTAGCCCATCCTCTTCAGTGTTCTGCCCCCTCTCCACACAGCTGCACTGCAGACCACACCCCAGTGCGTGAGCCTTGGTGTGGGCACCCCCCCCCCATACCAGGTCATGACGTGGTGGGATTCCCTGGACTGTGGAGTCGTAGGACTGCTTCCAGCTCCAGCCACAGCACGCTGCACATGAGACCTGAACAGCCTCCTCACATCTCAGCTGTCCTCCGCTATAAATGCCGCGTAGATATGTGGGGGTTCTTCACTGCAGTATAACTCATATTTTCAAAAGTCTTCCTCTCTGATATCTGAGATGAAGTTTAGAGCAGAACATCTCTGGATGCTGTGTGAACTATCCACTGGCTGCTGCTTTTAAGCAAGAGGAAGTTTCCCATAGGCTAGAGAGCAGCTTGCATTTTCTGCCTAGGTTTGCATTTCAGCTAAATTATCTGCTACTAACTCCCTGTTACACCTGTGTCCTGTTCTTGTCCCTCTGTTTGCTAAGCAATCTCAGCATTATGTCTTTAGACATTTGGAGTCTTTTTCAACTGAACTCTGTTAAACTACGTGTTTCTCAGAAAACCAGAATTATTTTCAAAGTTTAGCATGTTAGGACAAATTCTGGTTGCTCATACTTATTGTTTTTAACAGTAAAATTTCTTTCCAACTGTTTCAAAAAAATATAAATTGTATTCACCAAACCTTTAACGTTAACTCCACTTCTAGTTTAGATGATATAGAGGTTCATACCTTAAAGAAGTCATGTAAATATATTAAAACCATATGACAAAAAGAAACTTGTAATGCCATGTAGAAAATAGCAGAGTGGCCTCTGTCTCAAAAGCTAGTTCTGTTTGAATTAATTTTAGAGAGCTCATGCCCTCATCTGTGGAGTAGGTAAATGATTGTATCCTGGAATAAAAACAAAAGCAGATTGCTTATCAGGGTAAGAAGGAAAAGGAAGAGTTCAGAAGAATGAATGGCTTTAGGCCTGTTGGATAGTAAAATGCCTAATTCAAATTGTTTTACAGTTCAGGGCATGCGTAATAAGCGAATGTTATTTTTATGTATTACAGAGGAGAATTTGCTCTTTGGCTTGATGGAGATCTCTACCATGGAAGAAGCCATTCTTGTAAAACATTTGGGAACCATACACTTTCTAAAAAGGAAGATTTCTTTATCCAAGACATCGAAATCTGGGCTTTTGAATAAATACTGTGCTGTTTGTCTGAGCAAGATAATGGCCCAAACCTGACATGGACAAGCATTGTTGGAACGTTCAAGAAGCAATACAACGTTACATGTCACTTGTGCTTTAAAATCAGTCTATCACCATTTAGTACAGCTGCACTTCTGGAGTTTATTTTTCAAATCACCTTCCTGTCCCAGAGTTCTTTAGGTTTAGACTGTCACCAGGTCCACATAGTATGACAGCTTTTTCGTCTGAATTTTGACAGCATTTTGATCCTAGTGACCACTTTGTTTCACTTCACATTTTCTCAGTCTTCTGTGGGATGGTGCTCTTGTGTTGATCTCAGCTTTTTAAAACTCCATGGTTTGTTTTGTAGAGCAGTGTGATGGGGGCATCGAGGACAGGATACCTTCCTGCATGTGAGGCGGGACCTGCTCCCCTTATGCTTGAGAAGCCACCTGCCAAAAGCACACGCACTTCATAGAGCGCTGAGTTCTAGTCTGGATTGACACTACCACATTGTCTTTCTTGATTTTGCAAGTCCTCTCAGTTTCATTTTAAGGAAATGGGATTTGAGGAGAATTCTGCTTGTGAGACTACAGTGTACATGATCTGCAGGTTTGGGCATATGCTTTCATCACGGCTTCTCAGATAAAGAGCTTAAATTGACAAAGGAGAATGAAACTTAATGATTCTATTGGATTTAATATATTAAGCAAGAAATTCTAGTATTTACGTATTTATAGCTTAATAGGGCATTGTCATAAACACAGACCACACGGATGCATCAGCTGCATATTTCTCAACATACTGTGTCAGATACACTGTTTTACAGTTCAGTTGTTTTAGACTTGTTGCACATCAGCCCCAAAATATAGGCTTTTTTCTGTTCAGAAAGAAGTGTTTTTCTTTTTTTAGTGGTATACGTTATTTTCTTTAGTATTTGCTCTTACAAAGAGCAGTGATTGTAGTAGACAATATTGTAGCTCAGTAGACTTGGTGAATATGCAAACTTAACGTCAAGTGACCTCAAACAAGTGAAAAGGTAGAATACACTAGTAGTTCTTATCCTCTTTTGTAGGAAACCAGTAATAAGCCATTGTGGCAATAATTCATCAGTTAAATTTCAAAGCTTCATGTTATGCAAAAAAACACAAAAAACCCTGCTGTTATTCATGTGACAGTGACTTTGTGCTGAGACTTCAGCAATTCCAGATGAACGTTGTATATCTTGTAAATTAATGTTTAAAGTAGTTTCGTTCTTACAGAAAGTGTCGATTGCCAGGTTACTTATAGCACTTTATTCTAAAAATGAAATTATAAGCCAAATATACTGGCTCATATAGTTTTAGTTGAAAAATACTTAAATATATTTGGTTCTTTTGAGAGATAATTATCTAAAGAAAGCATAATGCTAATCCAAAGCAGACCTGGTGTTCTGTTACAAGACGCTATTGCTGACTATGAATGGAAACACAGGGCTTCACTTCCTGGGCTCTGTAAGCCTCTCGTTATGTTAGTAACAGTGTATAGACTACGTGTTTACAACATAGGGAATTGTAAATAAATACACGAGGTTTTTTCCCTCCTTTGGTCTTCCACAGCAGTATTATTGTCTTTGTGGAGTTGACTAATCATAAAATAAAATTTTAAAAATCCTGTAATGGATTTCAATTACAGTAAGCTCATAGTGATGTGTACCAAATAAAATTAAGTACATAGATACAGTCTTGAGTTTGAATCTGTTTAATAATGAAGTCCTTCCCATACTTTCTTAATAAATCGGGTAAACACTGTCTTCTGGGTGTGAGCCAGTGCTTCTAGCCCGCATGGTGGAGGTGCTGGGGGCTGTAGTAACTCAAGGCTCTGCCAAGCTGGAGGCCACTGCAGTTTACAGAGGGGAGGTTGGAACCACGCCCTCTGCAGGTGGGGCAGCGCTTCATTTGGTGTCTTTAAAATACGTTGTCCTCTGGTGAGAGCACTTGACAGCCCTGTGCTTGGAAGAGCTCTATGCGTGGCCAAGAAGGACGTTTGTTTCACAGGGACATGGAAGAGCGTGGGGCAGGAAGAGACACGGTAGCGTTTGCACTCGGGACCATCTCTGAACAGAAGGGAACATTAGAAATCAGGGCAGGATAGGAGCCTGTTGTATAATCAGAAAAGCAGTGCTGCTGGGTGAGAACAGCGGGGATGGTGATACGGAGGCGTGCACTGGGAGTTAGGGAGCACAGGGTAAGCATTGCTCAGGTGTCAGACAGGGAGCTGAGGACAGGCTCAGAGCGGGCCAGAAGCTGCAGACGGCAGCCAGATGAGGCCAGCTATGGCCTCCAGCGAGACGTGACAAGCTGGAGAATCGGGTCACCATTCCATGCCGAAAGGTGAACTGCCTTAACAGTTACTGCATACAAATGGATCTGAAGCTGTACCAGTGGCTGAGCATAGGTAACAAGGCTCTGAGGTTGGTGTTCGCCGTGTGGTAACACTGAGTGATAGGCAGAAGGAAGGAGTGCGTGCTTCCCTCAGGGAGTTAAACAAGGTGAACCTAAGCACAACGGTCTCCGAGAACAGTCTAGTTCTCAGCCACAGCTCACGGGAGCAAGTGGGACAAGTGGGAGCGGAGCCTGGTAGGGGATTGCCACAGGCCTGCAGAGGTGGAGCCGCTGGGACTGTCGGTAAGCGGGCCAGTGGAGGGAAAACGGAGAAACGTTACGTCGTGTATACTCAGCATGCAAACCTGCCAGAGAGAAACGGCTTCCCACAAAAAATCTTGGGCCCAGCTAGTACCACAGCTTCCACTAGGTTTTTAAGGTAAAAATACTATTGGTTTTAAATTAATTCCCCAAAGGCCCTGAGAAGAAACACTTCCGAAATTGCCTTTTGAGGCTAGCTTGACCTTAGTGCCAAAATGTTAAAATACTCATTCATAAAAATAGAGAATTGTGTAACTGAACTGCAAAGTTCTGAAAAATCACATGTGAAACTCAGCAATACATAGCATATAACCAATTCTAGGAAACCTAGGGTAGATATCATTTTTACATTTACCACATTGACAGAAAAAATAGTGTGATCATCTGTGGGTGCAAAAAACTAGATCTAATACCGATGTGATAAAGAGAATCTCTTTAATCTCTTAAAAAAATTACCACTGCAAGCCTGGGATAGAGCTCAGTGGCACAGTGCCTGCCTGACAAGCACTAGGTCCTGAGCTTGATCCCAGGACTAAAAAAGAAAAACAATTATCACTGGATATACAGGAAGCATGTAAAAGTTTGGACAGGAAAATCCTGCAGGCTGGGAACTCGTTTGTATACTACCTGTTACTAGGAATTTGTAGTCACCTATTATAAAGTGCAATTTTCTTTGATGATAAAACTATGAGCATTTTCATGAAAGCTTGTATGCTGAGTTCTGTTACTGTTTATCATGAGGTCCTAAGTATTTCAACTGTGAATTTCCCTATCGTGGAGTTTTTAGACTAATGCTTTGGTCAAAGAGAAAACATTTTTTGGATTGTAGATCAGAAAATAGTAATAGGACAAATGGTCTTACAGTAAAATACATTCAGCATAATACACGGGAAAGAACGTGCAGCCGCGTTTTGTGTGCTGCTCTCGACCCTGTCTCAGGAGGGTGCCCTGGGCTCGAGGCTGGCCCCACTCAGAAGTGTCAGTGAGTGCCGGTGAGCTGAGAGCAGGACTTCTCTGTGGTCCGTGGCAGCGGCCACACGAAGCCACGTTCATAGCTGAGTGTGCTGGAACTCTTGAGGCCTTGGTCCGAGCCTTCTCCTGACACGGGTGTGTTTTGCGGTTTTGAGGAGGTGGGATTGGGAAATACCTAAAAATGGTATAAAAAACAACATACAGGAGCATCATTTATTCTTACTCCTTAAAATTTTTGACATAGGTTTCACTGTTGTAATGTGTATCAATTCTGAGAAATATTTGTCATTAGTCTATAATTTTATAAATTTTGTACAGAAACAAAAACATTTTCTTTAAGAAAATGGAACTTTCAGTTTGAAAGAGAATCATACAAGAAAGTAAATTGTTAAGGTGGTTTAATGTGCATGTTACTTTAAACCTAACAATTACGATACTTAATATTTTGAGGTGTAATAATTTGGCCTCATTTCTTGTGTTTACCACCAAAATAGTGTAATGTATTTTAATTTGCCCTGAATTTGGTAAGAATTGTACCTCATTTTATCTAAATATTTGGGGTCACATAAGCCATTAAAACCTAGTGAGGAAATTAACAAGCAGCAGGTTCCGGGAGGCAGCTGGCTCCTCGCCACCTCCCATCCGCTGTATCTTTTGGTTTCTTTCAGTCCTGACAGGACTAATACTGCTTTTTCATGACTTTTAGACAAAGTCATGTTTCTGTGTTGAATGTCCAAAAGAAAATTAAAGTGTCTTCGTGGTTTAACTCAGCAGTGATTCAGTACGGTTCTTCCGCCCTGGGCTCCTCTTCACTGTGCTTTGAAGGAAGCATGTGCAGCAGGACTCTAAGACTCTGAGGAGAACTGATGTCGATGTCCCAGGAAGGCTGGGAGCCCGCGTGTCCCGTGGCCGTGACCACCTCCACGGTCCTCTGCCACCGTGGCAGCCACATTCCCAGGGCTTCGCTCCACCCCTCGGGGAACACGGCACTTCTGGTGCTCGCTGAAGACGTGGCCACCTCGTAAGAGGTACTGTGGCTTAAGCGATACAAGTCCAACTTCTTGGGAATTTTTAGTTTAGCCAGATTTCATGGATCTTTTCTCACACTGCCATGATTTGCAGTCTTTACCATAATGTTTCATTAAGTAATTTTTGCAGTAGGTAACCGAGTATTTTTCTCCTCCAGAGTTGAGAATTTTAAATATTAATACTCTTGTTACACTTAACATGCTGTGAGCGCTTTCTGAAATGCTTTCTGGGTGCTGTGCTGCAGTTTTCAAGCTTCTTCAGAACCAGTGCAAAACTGGTTTATGTAGAAGTACCTGTTAACTGTTACAGCTCAGCTTGCGTTTCAGTTTTAATACTCCGGCGCTGAGCGGTAGGACAGGAGTGGGCCACTGCTGATTTGGTGAAGGCTCCAAAGGCGCTGGCCACCTGGTCACTCCAGCAGAGTGATGACCACGTGGTCATCGCGGCCCTGCCACAGCATTTCTCCTTCAAAGTGCACCAGACCGTGCTTCCGGGCACGCAGCAGAATGCCCACTACTTTGTCTGAAATGCGGACGTATCTGTCAAAGAGCTCCCCGAAGGTGACCTGCAGCCTGCCGTCCCGCCGGCGGTGCGCCATGCTGCGGATGACCAAGCACATCTCCATGATCTCGCGGTGGATGTGCTGCTGGGCGCGCCGGGCCCGCTCTGCTGTCTTGGTTCCCTCCTTGGGCCGGCCGTAGCCCTCGTCCCCGCGGTGCAGGCGCGTGGACATGGCCAGCTCATAGTCGAACTCCTCGCTGAAGGGGTTGAGCTTCTGGGTCTGGATGTGCTCGTCGGCCCACTGCTGCCACCTGCCCTTCAGGCTGCCCACCTGGCTGAGCTTCCGGTGGGCCTTGCAGTTGAGCTGCTCCGCGTACCTGCCCGCCCTGCAGGAGAGAGGGCAGAGTGTGAGCGCACGCACCTGTGGCTTTTCCTTTGCACAGCACCCAGGATGTGCGCAGCTTCATAATGTGTTCATTGTGAAGATTAATAATCCCCCTGCACAATGTTGGGAAGGAAAGAAGAAAACCCACATGTGTGTTTAGTATATATGCCCTTCTTGATTATTTTCCATGTAAATAAACAGGATGTCATATTAAACTATTCTGAGAAAAAAACTCTCACGCAAAATTCATGCAAGTGTGTGTGAGTTCAAGTTGCATATTAGTGACATTTCAGAACTGGACTCCTGTGAGTGTCGGGGAATCCACTTCTTCAGGAACCCAAAATCCATTATTTCCCAAAGACAAGTTTGACAACAGCTCACATGCATGTGCTGTTCAGTCGTGTAGCAATGTGGCATGTGGGGTTTAATGAGCTCGTGTGCAGCTGTACCGTGATCGTGCAAACCCTAAAGGACCGAGCTACACAGCCACCCTAGCCAGCCATGGCGCTGAGGCTGCCTGCCGTTCTGCTGCTTTTCACTGCTGCTGCCCACAGTGCCTCTGCATGCTCCGCCACTGTCCCCGCTTAGCAGGTGAGACGGTGCAGGGGATTCGGTAACTTCCTGCACCATGGACCAAAGCGTGGGACCTGGATGGTGGATGGCAGGAAGGTGGCCAGGAGCCAGGCACAGGCACTGCAGCGCAGCCGGTTTGAAACAAAACTGGGGCTGGACTCGGCCCTGTTCTGCGGGGTTGCACTTGGTGTGCACCCTTTGAATTTGGAATGTGTCTTACCAATCAACAAGGCAAACTTGGTTTTGCAAAGTGGGGGCCAGCTGCATCATGAATGCAGACCTGATTTTAAAATGATCAAATTTCGTTTTTAAAAACTTCCCTGCCAACCAGTTGTGACACTGCACACGTGTCCTCCCAGCACTCCCGAGACCAAGGCAGGAAGATGATGTGAGTTCAGCCTCGGTTACACAGTGCGTTCGAGGCCAGCCAGGACTACTTAAACTGTCCAAACAAAGCGAAACCAAAACTGACCCACTATTTATGTATTTCCAGTCCATGGGACATTTTCTTCCTCTGCCTTTCCTCCTCTGCCTCCTCTGCACACCAGAGCTTGTCCTCCTTGGCCTCCAGTGACCCGCCCTCCCCGCCAGGGCCAGGTATCCAGGCTGGGCGTACTGCAATGTCCACGTGGAGTCCCTGCCTGATGGCACAAGTGGGCTTCGAGCACCCATGCTGTCCAGACTGCTTGCTGGGCAGGGAGATGACCATACTGCCCTCCTCTCCAGGATGTTCAAGTCTCCCAGCAGGAGGCTCCAGCCTGAGTGTGGCCCAGCTTGTTCTGGAGATGATGCCTGGCCCAGAAGGTTCCAGGGCCCTGATTCTGCTCTTGGGAGGTGCACCAGCCCACAGCCCATGCACTGGGGCCCCCAGGTGACGAACTTACCCCCTGCCGGGCTATTTCCCGAAATCCTGATCCTCACTGTCCTGTGCAGTGAGGCCAGATGCTCTGCTGCATAGAACACTGTTGTCTGTAGCCATGCACAGGAGAGTGGCACGGAGTTCACTGGGAGAACGCAGCATCCCAAATCTACCCTCCGTCACCACAGCGCTCCAGTCTGCACCTCTGAGACGGTGCGGGAGGCTGCGTGGTTCTCGGTCCTGGTCCTGGGTCACCTGCTCCCGCCCAGCCACCCACATGAGAGCGCGGGCCCTGTCCCCTGAAGCCATGGTGGTCTGGGCCAGGCAGCATCTTCACGGGAAGTTCAGCTGGTCTTGGCAGGACCCAGACCTGACGTGCTTGAGGCTGAGGCAGCCTGCCAGGGAAGACCTGAAACACGTCGGGAGGAAGTTCAGCGAGCAGTTCTCTGATTCCTGCTTGGTCTCCTGAGCACCAGCTGTGCTCCAGCTGTGCAAGGCAAGACAGAACACCCCCTGTCCGCCAGGTGGCGCCGAGGGTGCTGTGACCTGCTGCCTGCCGGCCATTGTCTCAGGCCCCTGTTGGATTTTCAGCAATGGAAAAACCCGCAAATAACTACTGAGGCCCACATTCATGAAGATGAAATAACCGGAGCAACCCAGATGTGAGCTGTTGACACAGCCGTGACTAATGAAAGCTCTGTGCCCAGGCTGAAGAAGTCAAGTAGCAGGTGCAGGAACGCAGAGCGTGTTGGGGTCCATGTGCTAATGTTTTCCTTTCTTTAAACCTCTTTGGTGTTATGATTTCATAATTTAAAGTAGCATCCAGAGGTAATCTGTTTAACCTGTATGTTATAGGGGTCTCTGATTCTTTGATGAAGGTTTTATCTTCAGGTTTTTAGTGGAATTTGAGACTGAGTGTTAAAACAGTATCATTTGGGGAGGGCGTAGAGCTTGCATGGTAGTGACTCTATGAAAAGGAGAAACGTTTATTGTTCACAAGGATCACTTTTTAGACATTGCTTCATTGTCTAATTGTAACTCTCAGTAACAAGATGAAAGAAAAATTATCTCATTATGTAAATACTGAATTTTTATGTTTTCAATTTTTAAAGTCTGGAAATTCCAGGTTTAAATTAGGATGAGAAAATCTATACCCTGAGTCTCATGTTGGCCAGTGAGTGTAGCAATGCTAGATTGTCTGATCTTTTAAGATTTTCTGTGAAAAAAGTTTACACTTGGAACAATAATCTTGTATGTGTAAGTTGAAAGAAATCAAAGCAACAGTCAAAGGCTGGCATGTATTTTAGGGGCCCAGCATGGAGTGCAGGGCTGTTTCTCAGGCTCTTCATTTTTAGGAGTTTCCTACAGTCCATCAACGCTTCTGCTGCCCTGCCCCATGTGAGGAGGCAGAGCCAGAGCCTTGCAGGCGCCATGAGGAACCCAACCTGGCAGCCTGGCCTCTCTCTCCAAGATGCGTTTCTAAATGTGCCCCTTCCCTGCCCTGTCAGCTCTGAGCAGGGGGTGACCTGGTGCCTCTCTGCAGAGTGGTCGGGCACCATGTGGCTGTGGGGACTGCTGTGTCACGGTCATGGCAGGTTTGATGTGGGACCCTGCCCAGCACGTCGGCACCAAGCAGGTTCGGGATCCCTCCCTGGGTCCCTGTGTGGAGGGACCTGGGATCTGTGACACGTGGCGGTGTCCCCCGTGGCCTCCCACAGATGGGCCCTGCTGTGTCCAGGCTGACCCTCTTGGCCTGCTCTTTGCTAGCGTGGGTCCTGCTGTCAGGGAGGCCAGAGGGCTGGACATCAGAAGGCAGCACCACAGCCCTGACCTCAGGCATGGAGCCTGCAGCTGGCGGGGGGCCTGACCTGTGCTCTCCTGGCTGTGTTTGCTCCCCAGAGTCCCGGGAAGTGCTCCTGGCTCTGGAACTGGGCTGGGAAGGAAGGAGCCGACCTTTGGGGGAGAAAGGCACCCACAAGTGACAAATGCCCATTGGCGCTGACTGAATAGTGCCACTTTCTCTGGCAAAAAGTCCCAGTGGGCTTCTGCGGAATTCCCTGCCTGCTGGGGCTACCTCTGCCTGCCTGACAGAGGTGAGGGCCTGGGGAGGAAAGAAGGGCATCAGCCACCTGTCGCCAGCCAAGAGAACCTCCTTCCTGCCGCCTTGAAGGATGGCACCAAGGGCAGCAAGCGGCTCAGAGGGGCTCCCTGGAGCCTGTGGCTCTGCTGCATGGCTATGGAAATGGCCTGTGGTATGAAGCCCCGTACCCACAGCTAGGGATGCAGAGACCCAGGAATCACGACCCTGCCCCTGAGAAGAGGCGGTGCCCAGGCCTCACTCCAGAACTGCAGGCGGCATCCTGGGAAGGACCTCAGGCTCTGGGCTGGGCCGGCCCTGTTCTTTGGGGCCTACCTGGCCTCTGATATCCTCCCTTGCTCTCGGTGACCCAGGCCCGGGGGGTGCAGACTGTGTCCACTTACTGGGAGGCCAAAGGGCGCTTGATCCTGGTGGCAGCCACCTGGGCCACCTCCTGCTCCGGCCTCTCCTCGGCCTCACTGTAGCCGCTGTCCTCCGTGTCCACGCTGTCACTCTTCCACGTGGGCCCCTCCTGCCCCAGCTCCTTCCAGCCTCTGCTCAGCTCCGACACCAAGTGGGCACACTTCCTCCTGCGAGTCGGGGACTCGTGGCTGCAGAGAAGCCTGTCCAGGGTGTCCTCGGGTTGTGCCGCCGGCGCAGATGGGGCACCCTCCTGCTCATACCTGTGGCTGAGGGCGCCCATGTCGCCACCTCTCTCGTAAGCCTTGCTCACGATGCTTTTGGTCACCTCTTTCCTTTTGATGCGGGGGGCTTCCTCTGAGCCATGTCCACTTTCGCTTCCCTCTGGCTTCCGGGGCAGGGACTTTGTGACCCCCTGAGCATCCTGGAGGGCAGCGGGGTGCGTGGCTGGCTTGGGAGCAGGGGCTGTGTGCTCGGCCCCTCCTGGCACCCAGCCCGGCGGCTCCTGGGCCTGTCTGGTGCTGTTCTCGGCGGCCCACTGCTGCCAGCCGCGGGCCAGGTTGATGACCAGGGTGGCCGTGTGCACTTTGTGCAGGGCCCTCTTGGCGGGTCCCTCCTCCCGCTCCCTCTCGCCCGGGGCCATGCTGCCTGTGTCTTCCGGGACCCTGGGAGGCCTGAGCTGGTCCAGCCAGGAGCCTGGGGTTTAAATAGAAGCAGGGCGGGGGCGGGGGAGCCGGGCAGTGGAAACTATGGGGAGCGTGTGGTGCCAGGCGGTGGTGCCTCTGCCCTGATGACATTCCTTTTTTAAGCCCTGGCAGCTCCAGTTTCACGAGGCTGAGGGACATCTCGCCGGTGAAGGACAGTGACAAGCTCCCACCCTTCCTGCCCCGTGCGCCAGGGTGGAAATTACTAGACCAGACCTTGTGCTCAGCTTCTTGTCTCCCTTGCCCTTAAAACGGGATCCTGTCGCCAACAGGTGCCTGCAGACGGGCGGGCGCAGGCCCTGCTGGACTGCTGGGGCCCCCTCGCGCCTCAGCCTCCCCGCAGCTGTTGTGGGGGCTCAGGTCACAGCTGAGCGAGATGAAGCGGATTTCCTACTGCCTCGACCCCACCCAACTCTCGCCAGAGCTGGAGCCTCCTTGAGACTTATGGAAGATCCCAAGTAGCCCTCTCTTTTGCCTTCAACTGAAGCCTTCCATGATCATTGGTTCCAATTTTCCTTTTCTAGGTGAGAAAAATCAAAGCTCAGAGGGAAACCAGGTCCAAAGAGTTAAAGGCTAGTTATTTTCTAGTCCCAGTTTGACCCACTGTGTCGACAAGTTGTCACCGCTTTGGTATAATCATTTAAAAATCAAGACTCGCAAACACACTGAATTTAGAAGTTACAAGTGTTTTTGAATAGTTGGTTTAAAAATAAAAAGGGGGAAGGAATGTGCTCTGTCAGAAGTACACAGACACCCCTGCATCATCCGCAGTTGGCCTCCAGATTCCCGGAGGCAGAGACGCTTTCCAACCTTCAGAACAAAGACTGAACTTCACATTGTTAAAAGGTCTGGAGAGAGGTGCTTTGTGCAGGAAAAGAACCATCCATGCAGTGTGTCAAACCAGAGAAAACCCAGCAGGCCGAGCACCGGGCTATTCTTAAAGTAAGGCAAGCGAGGTAACTGTTCTCACTCAGCAGTTTGGGGGCTCCCCATGGCCTTTAAATTTGGCATGCATTTCACCTGCCGGGGACCACTACTAACGGCCTCAGGAAAAGTATGAAAATTTATTCATTTTGAAACCACTTTTCATCACATTGGTTGTTTGTGTTCTCCTATTAGAACAGTTAGGGGCTGATTTAATGCTCTATCAAGAGACTGTGGGGTGTGTGCTCAGTGGAACAGCGTCTGGTCGTGTTGACGGAGGCCCCAGCAATGCAGAATCAAAGCCCCTGCTGCATAATCGGGAGGTGTCTCAGTTACTTTTCTCATCGCTGAGACAAAATCCGCACACCCACACGTTAAGGGAGCAAAGGCACCCTTGGCTCATGGGTTGTGGAAGTTTCAGTCCACAGTGGGCCGGCTCCAAGGAAGGGCGGCACCCGGCAGAGGCATCGCGGAGGCCAAAGCTCGTGAGGTCAGAAGCAGCACAGGACAGCCACAGCTCTTCTGTTCCTTGGATCTCATCCAGGCTCCTTAGGGCAGGCAGCTTTGATCCTAGTGCCCTTGATGCTAGCGTTGCACCATCAGTGGATCCCAGTGTCACACACTCCAGATCCAGACACCTCTGGGAAGCCCCTGCTGTGACCCCGTGAGGCTTTGGGGAGGGGGGCTCCGGACACAAGCCACAGCGGGAGGAAACTGGGTCACACAGGAGGAAGACCTTTACAAACAAAGATGTAGAGCTGTGTCTGGAGTCTCTGGTATTCCTCCTGGAACGGAGGGTCAGCGGTGGTGGGCCCCGGCGGGCTCCTCCCAGCTGCCCCACCCACACCTGCAGCAGGCGTCCTGCTGGCGGGGAAAGAACAGACCCGTGATGTTCACAGTCGTGCATGTGTGTGTGCACGGGCACTGCAGCTAGCGGCCTGCACCCGGGCCGTCTGCAGATTTCCTCGGCAAGGCCAGAAGCAGCTCCTAAAGTCTGGTCTTTGGGAGTTCAGTGTCCATAGCAACTGCGCTCCCGCATCCACTTCTGCAGGGTGGAGAGAAAGTGCCTTTGCTCCCCAGGTGGGCGCCTGCCTGCTGGGCCTCTTGAAACCAGGTCTGGAACCTGACTCCCGCGCACCTTTTGATTCCTATGAGTGGCTGTGATCTCTTTCTCAGTCTAGATCTGAATTCTAGCAGTTATATCTTGTATTTTAATGTGTGGTATATGAGGAAAAAAAAATCTCAAAGATACAGGTCACGCAGGGCATGGTTCACAGAGAGTTTCCTGTGAAGCAGCAAAATTTGAAATTGGAGGTGAGTGTGCAGACCTGATGAATGAAGTGATTACCACCTGAGGAATCTGTGACACCAGTGAGATTATTTTTCAAATTGCATGTTATTGTTTGATCCTATGAACAATGCTAGAAAGGGAGAGAGGCTATCTACACATTTCCTGTCAGGTAGAGCCAACCTGATAAGGCACCTTATTAACTTGTAAAGAGATTTCAGAAACCTACATTTGCTCAAAGCTCATAGCAAACAGCCATTTCTCTGTGAAAATATAAACTTCGTTGTGTTTGAGGTTTACAGTGTGGTGTTATAGGATACATAGACAGCAAAATGCTTACTACTGGAAGCAAAGTAACATAGTTGTCACCTCACACGGTTACTTTTGTGACAAAAGCAGCTGAAATCGACTTAACACAACTTCCTAGTACAGTCTTACTAAGTACAACTTTATTTTCATGTTATGTATTCAATCCCTAGATTTTTCTCATCTCACAGTATCTGGCTGTTCACGTTTCCTCTGCCGGCCCCCTCCCTGCTAAAAAGGATTTTTGTTTTAGTGAATGTGTGACCTGTTTGTTTAGCTTAGCATAATGAGCTCCCCGTGCAATTCCACTGAGGGTCGCCCTCCTTCTCTGGGCCGCCGGATGGTTTTCTGCTGGGCGGTGCTGTGTCCCTTCCACCATGTGGGCACTGGGGTGGCTCCACAGCTCGGCTGTGTGAGTGGCCCTGCAGTGCAGGTGGGGTGCAAGTGCTCTATAAGGTCGTGATTTTGCTCCTTCTGGTGGATTCTGGAGCGATGCTGCGATGCTGGGTCGTGGGGCCGCCCTGTCTTGCGTGCATTCAGAAACCTCATGTTTCCTGTAGCAGGGGCCAACCCGCCTTCACAGGGAGCATGTGCAGAGGTTTCCCTGCTCCTGCCCTGGCCAGTACTCAGCCCTTGTCTTTCTGATAGCAGACGCTCAGTGTGGCTGAGGGGGCATACCTTGTCTTCTTTGGAGAATGTTTGGTCCAGATCCTTTGCTCATTTTAGAATTGGGTGTTTTCTGGATTTTAGTTTGCTGTTCCATTGTAAGGGTTGTCGTTGTTCCCAAGTTTTGGTTTGGGGGCCCTTGTCAGACATGTGATTTGCTGATTGCTCCCTCTCCGTAGGTTGATTCTGCCATGGAAACCCAGTATTCCCAGCCCCGGTTTGCTGCGAGACCACCTCCCCTACCCTGTCCTCTTGGGGCCCTTGCTGAGCACTGACTCTTTGCCTGGATGTGTTTGTGGCCCACCACTCCGTCCCGTGTTCTACGTTTCTGTTTTTATGCTGGCTCCATACACTTGGATTACTACAACTTTGTCCGGTGATTTTAAATTAGAAAGTGTGCTACCTCCAGTTTTTTTTCCTTTTTTAGTATTGATTTGGCCATATGGAGGTTTTTTATGGTTCAGTATGAATTTTAGGGTTGTTTTTTTATATTTCAGTAACAAATGCAAATGAAATGTGAGAAGGACTTCTTTAAATTTATATACTGCTTTGGGTACTACAGATATTTGTTCAACCCATGAATATGGGATATATTTTCTTTAATATTATCTTCTTCAATGTCTTTCATTAATTTTTTGTAGTTTTTACTGTATAAATTTTTTGCTTCCTTAAATTTTTCCAAAGTATTTCTTTTTGTTTTCATAAACAAGATGATCTTCTGATTTCCTTTTTAGCTAGGCCATTTCCATGTGTATGTATGGAAATGCTACTGGCTTTTCAATGGTGATTTTATTTTTTACTTTTATTTTATGGGGGGAGGACTGGGGATCAAACTCAGGACCTTGCACTTGCCAGGCAGGCACTTATGCCGCTGAGCTAAATCCCAGCCCTTCAGTGGTGATTTGATATCACGCAACCCTGCTGAATTCATTTCAGCCCTTATAGCCACGTGTGTACGCGTGTGTGTGTTTAAATACTGGGTCCTCTCATCGACATCTAGTCATAGCTTTACTGCTCATTAGTCACTTTCTTTCTTTCTTTCTTTCTTTTTATCTTTCTTTCTTTCTTTCTTTCTTTTCTTGATCAGTTTCAGTACTGTGTTGAAGTGGTAAAAATGGGCATCTTTGTTTAATGCTAGCACTTAGTGAAAAATCTTCTATACTTATACTGCTAAAACTCTTTTATTAATTAAGTTTACTGATACATTTTAGTTATACATAATGGTCACATCCATTATAGGGACTTTGTACCCATACATGAGATAACTTGATTTTTTTTCCTGTTCCCCTACCTCCCTTCAACCCCTTTCCTTCCTTATTTACAAAAGTTTGTTTCCATTTTTTATTTTCCCTTCCTTCAACCCCCTTAGCCCACCCAGTTCCTCTTCCCCCTTGAATGTTTTCTTCCTATTTTACAATATCTATGATACCTTTTGATCCTTTTTTACACTTTCAGTTTCTCACATTAGAGAAACAATGCAGTATTTACACATGTGTATCTGATGTATTTCACTTGAGAGTGGCCTCAAGGTGCATTTGCTTAGCTAGAAATGTCTCAAACTTGTCCTTTTAATGGCAGCATAGTACTCCTTTGTATTAAAAAAAACCCACTTCTTTATCCATTCATCAGTTTGTGGGCACTGGGCTGTTCCCAAGATTTGGAAAGGAGGCATATGAGGAAAATTTATATCAGTGAATAATTATATCAGGGGAATAGAGCAAGCTCAAATAAACAACTTAATATTGAACCTCAAACTGCTAGGAAAAGAAGAGCAAGTCAAGCCCAAAGCTTGTACAAGGGAGGAAA